GATATCAGAAATGGTTTTAGATCATCAGACTACCTTTTCTAGTACTATTCTATACAGAAAAGTAGTCTGATGATCTAAACCGCACATGTGAGAAGGGAACACCTGCAAACCCTTTTTGGTGTCCCCGTAGGGACATGAAACGAGAAGAGTCGCATCCAAAAGTTGAGCCGCAATCTGTAATCGCTTGCGGACTTCGTGTGCGAGCGTTTCCCATCGAATTTCAAGTCGAGTGGGTTACCTGTGTCTTTTTTTTCAAGCGAGGCGGGGACACTTCGCAGCCCCCATGGCTGGGAACGCATGGCCTTACGAGACGAAATGGCTCGACCGGACTTTGAACGGTGCCATGCAGGCGGCCGATGTAACAGCCCGCAGCGCTCATTTCTCCTAAGTCAAAATAACGGTTAGATGAAAGTTCTGCGGAGAATCGAGACATCCGCGACAATGCAAGCCACTGCTTTGACACAGCGGGGTCCTGATAAGCAAGTAGGTTGCAGTGAGTGCCTCCAAAATCCCAAAGGATTAGTGCTGAAATGATGCTGTACTATGAATAGAAACAGGACGGCGGCAGCGAGCATCAGGGGGGGGGTTAAATGAGAATCACTACCACACTTGAGTGTGACCACCAGGTAAGCAGCTCGTCTCTGCCGGGCCCCACGCAGGTGCCCGTATGAGCCCGCACCACTACCGACTGCGCCATGGAGCAGCAAATGTTCGCGCTTGACCATCATTCTATGTAACGACCACAGCACAGAACCGTAATACATCCTCTCGATCAATCAAGGAGATCGATAAAAACGCGACCCGTATGGGTGCGAAACCCTGTGCCGAGGGTTACATCGGTCCTGATGATGGGGAACCTCTTCGGTTACCCATTAGGACCGGTACCCGGGGTCCAGGGCATCGCACCCAGATGGGCATTAAAATGCTCCGTATCTTGCGCCGGTGTGAAGTAATCAAGCCCTTATTAGAATCGATATCACTTCTGTGATGGTAGACCAAATGCCATCGATCTTCAATGGACCAACCAGGCACAACGCTAGCAATGAAGAAGTTGCTTTCGACATACTGACGGCCAGGTTAGGGGCAAGATTCTGTTGCACTCTACGGTCGACTGCCGCAGCAGCGCAGTCGAACCATACGGTGGTTCAGCTCGGTTTTCGCGGCACTTTTCTCGACAAAATTGTGGAAGATGAGCACATCGAGATTCACTCCGTAGAAATAGGATCTCCGCAAATGCAAAACATTTGCACCAACCGGGAGTTGAACCCGGGTCTGTACCGTGGGAGGGTACAATGATACCGCTACACCATTGGTGCTCACGATAGAAACATCGCATGCAGGCGTCATGACCCTTCTGTGTTCCCTTCCATCGACAGATCTGTCGCCCCTTCCCCCAGTACTCCTTTCGCCTCAAGTCCAGGCAGTGATGGACTCATTGAGAACTAATCAATGAATTAGCCCTGCTCCGCAAATGCAAAAGACCTTGCACCAACCGGGAGCTGAACCCGGGTCTGTACCGTGGGAGCTTACTGATACGGCTACACCATTGGTGCTCAAGTTAGAAACATCGCATTTCGGCGACATGACCCTTTTAGATTCCCTTTCACCGCAAAGTTCTACCTTCCAAGTACTGTTCTCGACAAAGTTGTGGATTGGTGATGGGCACATTAAGATTCCCTGTGAGGAGATAGCTCCTCCGCATATGCAAAAAGTTTGCACCAACCGGGACTTGAACCGGGTCGGTATGGAAGTACAATGATATCACTACACCATTAATGCTCGCTGGAACCGTGAGTGTTCCAATTTCCGTCACTGAATTACGAGACTTCCAGATCCGCTATCAATCTGTGGAAAACCTAAGAGCAGCCAAGTTGCTGAGATCAGTTGTCCTTGTGTATTTGGGCTTCTTCGTGGTCGAAAGAGCTCTTCTCTTCTACTCAACCTTCTTCGTCGCTGATCAGTCTCAACTTGCCTCCTGCAGTGTGGATATTCTGCATCAATATGGTCGTCAGTCTTGAGGTTTGTTCACCCCTATCTCTTACAAAACATTCCTGGGCATAAAACCGATAATATCCCTGCTAATATAACGGCTATGTCTTATGTAGTCTTCTTCCTGTTCTGTCCTGTCTGTCTGTCTGTCCTGTCTGTCTGTCTGTCATTGAAAATTCATACCTGAAGAAAAGCTGGAGAGGTTCGTGGCCATGGCCGTAGGGTAGAAACATGGGACAAAACCCATCATGAGAATCCCATGACCATGGGTAAGCCCGCGCTCACGGTGGGCGGGCGTGCGTCTAAAAGTTGGCGATGTCTCATGAAAAAAGCTCATAAATCGTTCCCAGAGCAGTCCCGAGATGAGAAACAGTGCAGTAGGGTAAACAAAGGCGTGACTGACCAAACAGAGGCGCACACCCGAAGTGGGCGGGGCGTACTTGTGATGGCGGCGCTTACCCGTTACACTGAAAAATCACCATAACTTGGTTAGGAAGCAGCTCGGAGACTGGGAAAAGTGGAATTAGGTTAGCACTGGGTTGGTTCACCGAATGGAGGAGATAACCCCCGAAAGTGGCACGGTTGTACCTGTGGATACGGTCGGCGCTTCCCGCAAAGGTCGGTAACCTGGTCCTGAGAAACATGTTTAGGCAGCGCAGAAAAAGTCCATCGACCGAAGAAGACTATACTTGCACAGAGTCCCACCGTGTATAGCGGCGTGCTGAGGTCCGCACCCAGCAGTGGCGAGGCTGCTTGTGAGCACGAGGAACAGTATTAAAACGTCGTAGTTTGTATAATCAACTGCAATGGTGTGCCAAAAAATGGATTATGGTTCCCAAGTGATCAAATGTAAGAATGTGCGAGGCACCCGCGTTGTGGGCGGAGCCTGCACCGAGGTGGGCGGAGCCAAATTCAGAAAGTATTCGCAACGTGGTTCCAGACCACTCTAGACACCGGGAAATGTGGTTTGAAGTCCGCAACGGGTTATTAGTTGAGAAGCGCGAGGCATTATCGTTGGGGCGACACCAGGAACATATATAAGCCGTCAACCCGTAGGGGGTGGAAGCCGAAATCAAAATAATCGAATAGTGTGGGCGGAGGCGTGTTCTCCCGAGGGGTGGATGCCGGATATTTAAAGAAATTCGGCAAAACGCTTCCAGAGCACTCCAGACACCGGGAAAAAGTAGTTTGAAGTCAGCGAGGGGTATCAGTTGAGAAGCGCGAGGCATACTTTGTTTGCGGGGCGCGTCAAGGTGAGCGGGGCTAGCCTTAAAAATTTCTCATACGGTTCCAGAGCACTTCAGGCACTCCATACCTCCTATGGTGACACGGCCCCGGCTTTGCGGGGCGTGGCTCCATCGCGCCTACCTACATTCGTACGATCAAATGCTCGACTAATACCCGGCTTTTCTCTCATCTGTCCACTTGATCAACGCTCCTTACCACCACTCCATACACCGTAATAGTGTTGAAAGTAGCAGGTATGATGCTATTGGTCAAAGAATGTTGACCACCTGTTCAGGTAAAAGAAAAGCCTGATACTAGGCGGCTAATGAAATGTGTGGAAGAAGCGCGGCGGAGCCGCGCCCGCTCGACGAAGCCGTGCTGTATCTCAGAAGGAGGCGCGCCGGTGTCAGCCGGCGAAGCCGGCTGGTGTAATGATATGTCGCCGGGGGAGGAACGCGAGTTTGAGGCTACAGAGGCCGAAGGTTTTTCGGCGCGCTGACATCTTGGAACCGAGTTGAACGGTTTACCCTCAAACTCTTGTACCCCCCCTGAAGCTCTCATAAACAAGTTCCCCACCATTCCGAAATTCTGGAATCTCATTCATTTAAGATCATCTCCACAATGGTAGTGGTCGCCAGCTCCTACTCATCATTACCTCGCCTCATGACGTCGTGCTGGCGCCGTTCGCGACAAGTCCACACCACCTATGCCAACACCGGTGACGTACGCTCTGTTGACGGACGCCCACTTTCGTTCAATGTCAATTTACAACGAGATTTCTACTTTGAGAATCTGAAAGTGTTGTGGGATCCCACTCGGACCCATCCTCTTACGCTAAATTAAAACCCGTGCAAGGATTTCATAGGCGGGTAAAAGTTTTCAGGGTCATGTCACATGAAGTTGAGTGAACGACGGGTTTGACAGTGCTTCCCCTCTGATGTAGACCGGTGAAGTAAAGATGGTCGAAAGCACATTCCTCGATGATCGCATGGGCGGAGACACCAACCAAAATGTCTGCCTCAACGATGCAATTCCTGTTGCAGCAAGGTAAGAAATAGAGGATCACAAAGAGAAAGACAAAATGGTATATGTCTCGCCCACCCAGTTGCCGCGGAATGTGCCTCTAAGCACCTGTAGACGGTGAATAATGCCTTCAGTTCGTTTCGATTTCCTTTCGTATTGTGTTTCGAGGAACTATTGCCATGTACAGTTCACTCTTTCACTATTGGATAACGAATTTTAACAAGTGCTGTTTCCAAATGCTGCACAAAACTGAACAACCGCTTCGCAACAGCACGCGTCAGAGGTCTGTGAATTTCGCGAGTGGTGTGATATATACTGTACAAATCACTTTCTAAAGTTTTCTTTTGATGAAAAGCGTCAATAAACCTCAAATCTCTCTGGAGGTTGTTTCGATTTTTATGCACATATTCATGAATCCGTTTAAGTGAAGTAGTGCCTGATTGCAGTAGGCGATACATACAAATTCAGAGAGAGAAACTTCACGATCCGGTCACTTGGATCGATGGGATCGCGAAGTATGAACGCTCTAACAGAACAAGATATGATGAGGATGATATCAGAGACTAATAACTCAAGCCGGAAGAAAATCAGAAATCGATCGGTTCCGACATCAATCCTTGAGAAACCATGGAAATCAGTAAAATGATCGAAAAAGCTGGACAAAATCGTGAGGGTCAATTCCCTACTCACTACCAAAGAAAAAACACGAGAGCAATATAAGTAGCCGAACACTTGACAACAGCAGCCTCGATGCGAAAAAATCAATAGTCGACCGACCACACTTCGCTATTCCATTTGCAACGATACACATGCCTGTGGTATTTCTGAATCATTTTCTCGGCGAAACGAACGTATTCATCACGTGCGCTTTGGAGCGGTTGGCCTTAAATTGTGTTTTTGGAAGGTTTGAGAAGTGAATCTTAACGAGACATTCTATAATAAGCGAGTGGGCGGAGACTCGTGACTATTGTCTCTTCCTCATTGGTGTTTACCTCAGAAGAAGGAGCGCAGCGATGGGGAAAATGATTGCGAGTCTTTGTCCATTTCTCCGCCCAATCATTATCGCGGAATGCGTCCAACACATGAAAAAAACACCTTTTCTAGCTGCCCAGGCCTCGTATTTCCTTGAAGCGACATCATCACCTTTTGGCTTCTCTGAAATACTTCAGTTCCATTTCTGTGGTAGACGGCTGATGTATGAAGTAACTGATAAATAGGTTGCTAACTCCCATTAATTTGTAAATAAATTTCCACAAAATTCGGTAAACGGTGGGTAAAGAGAAAACTAAAAAGGGGTGTAAGGCGAGCTTCCAACAAACTGTACCCTTTAGGACCAATCTGAAATAAAGGGAGTGGTCCAAAACACTCTTGAACCGTGGCACCGAAGAAAGCTTGACGGAGAAGAGTATTGTCAATCAAGACGAGTTCACTGGGCACTGCCTCGGATATCCTCTTTGACGTTCAGGACAAATCCACGGAACGCTTTTGATCGATCCTGCCAGCAATGGGTAATGGGTAGCAAGTCGATTTTGTCTGAGATCATGGTTTGCCGGTATTTTTCTCAGTGAGTGTTCAGGTCACTCTTGAATTTGTTGGGCGGGTACCACATTGAGCGCCAAATCGATCAATGCGTAGGCAAAACGAGCGATAGAGGACAAAACGGTCACTCGAGAAAGCATTACCACGTTCAAACAAATGGGTCCCGTCGCGAACGCCACGCTCGCGACGTCGCAGCTCGGATGTTCTGATCTATGCCTCAATCAATATGGAGCAAAATGACCGTACGTGGATAAAGCTAAACATTTTGCCCATTTTCGTCATGATAAGATCTACAAAAACTACAAAAACTCCTAGTATTGTCCACGCACGTACCGTAAATGTCTTCCGAGGGGATGTTGCCATGAATGCTCTGCTTATAGAGTCCATAGAGAACTAGCTTCTCTTCATCGGTTGGGTCCTTTTTTAGACGTCGCATTTCCTCGGCGGCAATGTCGAAATTCATGCCGGTCCATTTCTGAACAAAGCATCTTTAATGGATCAGAACCAAATTATGAAAACCCGGTCTACAGCCACTCCCCGTATAAATTTCTGGGAAGTTGAAGCTTGAGGAGTTTAAAATACCGCCTTGTAACTGATTCGCTGCTTAAAAACATGGAAATCATCATGGAAAAACTCACCTTCTCGAGATCGCTTATCGGCATTCCTCGGAGAGCTAAGAAGAGGACTGCACCATTACACCCTGCACAGCGTTGACTTGTCGGCGCTTCATAATAGTCGCCAATTCGCTACGATAGTCGCAGCCAATCAGTGTGCGTATATGTTTACAGTTGCGTCATGGAGAGCCATCCCGGCCGTCCATTCAGGCGCGGCGCCTGTTTGTTTCCACCAGGGAATGAGGCTGGCTGGCGTCGTGCGAAAACCTACGTACATAGGGATGTCCCTACCTAACACTTCGATAAGCACTATGTTTACAATGTAGACTACAATTTTTCTAGGAGATCATGCATTTAGTAGCAGTTATTTCACAATCGGAATGAATAACGCTATCCTCTGACTGGACCTTTTTGGATTGGTTCTTCATCGAGTGCAGCTTTCATGGACTCCATTAAAACTATGGAATATGTAGTACAAGCATTTG